GATTCTCTTGCACATCTTCTCTGAGGACGGTCCGTGCCATGCGCGAGACGAGGAGGCCCTGAGCTGCAGTAGAATGCTACTTACTCCGCTCAAAAAAGCGCGGAAACGGAGCTGAAAAGTAGTGGAGCCCGCGTTGCAGTCTCCACACTTCGCCCACCCTATCCTCAAGAATCAGCACTTATGTCGGTAGCGAGGTTCCGCAGCGAAACACGCACGACAAGTAGCGCGTTTGGCTATGATCAGACGTGTAGCTGGTTTCCCGACAGCGCAGGAGATTGAGGCGGCGCCCGGGTATCACTGCGCCCTGTCCCGTTTCCGTGCACTTTGGGCTGGGGAAAGTGATCCTACTGGCTGCGGCTGCGAACCCATTCACCTCACTTATGGCTAACAGTAGGGTTACGAATTAGAGTGTACAGTTTTTCTCCAGGGAAGTTTTTGCTATGATGTGTTTTTCTGATAATGAAAAAAAAATCCTCGGAACGTTTCCAATAATTTGCTTCCACATTTTCCCAGAGCATCTGGAATGAAAAATTCCCTACAAAAGTTCTTTATCACGGGATGCGGAGTATTTCAGGCAGAACGAAGATACAGAAGAGGATGCTAAACGAGACGGATCAAAAGAAAGCAAAAGGAAAAAGGAAGAGATTAAGGAAGAAGGGACGGCGGAAATGGATCCTATAGATTTCGAGTCACTGAATAAGCTTTCCAGCTTCGTTGGTGAAGGCGCTCAGGAATTGCTGAAGCAGGTCATTTCAGTTCAGTATTACCGCGGTTACAGTGATTTATTTTGATATTATTGAATTGTAGGCTGGAGAAGATGCCCCGTGCACCACTGGACCATCGACTCCACCCCCTCCACCACCTGGAGAGTCGACTGTCCCTGTTCTAGGCAGCAAGAAACAAACACCTTCTAAAGATGTAGGTGGAACAAGCTGATTTTCTTGTCGCAGAAAGGAAGCAACGTTACCCCCATATTTTTTTCTTTGTAATTTTTTAGGTTGCGAAAGGTGATAAGACGGCTATAAGTGCGATACTACCTGGACCGCCTCCTGTGCCACCTGTTTACGGAGATGATTCATCGGATGGTATGTTTACTGTTAGACGAGAATCAGCATGAGTAGAAGCCGTGGTGTTTTTCTTCAACAGTGCATTATAGATTCACCAACTGTGCACGATGCTGGTATATCTCCAGAATCATCTAGTTTCACCCAGATGCAGACTGTTAATGTTCTTCCAGTGCCACCACCTCCTCCAGTTATACCAAGTCCGATTTGCACTTCTTTGTATCGTTTTATGAGCACATTAAGGCTTCGTTCATACTTTGCGGCAGGGTCCACCAGTGACCATTAGCGTTTCGAGCATCCGTGAGGACTAGGAAGGTATAAATATCGATCTAGGGAACGTTAGTGTCTGCCACCTTCCATCAGCATATACCACCGTTCTTCAGCATCTCGAGGGACTCGGGACTTATAGGTGCCGATCTAGCAAACGTCAGCGACCACCAGGAGTAGAGAGTATGGGCAAGTAGGAGGATAGCGGGCTGCTGAATTAGTCGTGGTGAATACGGCATGTGCAACCGCACCCTACTACTACACAATACCGTACACTGAATTGCATAATTCTGTGCTTTAGCAGTTGTACGGTGCAGTTGCACACGCCAAAATGTCACGACGCCTAATTCAGCTGTCTGTGCTCACCCTTTTCCCGATACTCTGCTCCTGGATGGGTGGACGCTGGTGGACGCTGGCTTTCGCTAGATCAGTACCCCTACTTCCCTAGTCGCTGACGCCGATGGACACTGGAAACGCTAGTGGTCGCTGGTGGACACTGGTGGTCGCTAGTGGACGCTGTCGCGAAGTATGAACCTGACCAACCTGATATTTTTGCATGAAATTAAGTTTCGGAGATAGCCTGAATGTCAAATGGCTCACGCGCGCTTGTGCTGTGCTGCGTCGATAGCTGCGTTCATCTTCAATGTTTTGAGTGTACGGTAGCGTTTTGAGCTGTCGAGCGACTAGGAGGTTATAGGTATCGTTTTAGCGATTTCAGCGATTGCCCGCGATAAGTTCAAAACTACGCATGAAATGCTCAAAACTCTTGATTGCGTCTATCTTCCCTACTCGCTCGGAAGGCTGCTATACGCTCGAAATGCTGAAGCGATTTATGAGTGCAGCCTAACGATTATTTAGCTGACTATGAACGCGCGTAACTTTTTTACCTGAGCAAATGGCAAGTGGCTGAGCGTGTGAATTCACATCATATTTTGTTTAAAGGACAGCATTTTGTGTCTTCTTCCTCAGCCCATCAGACAGCTGCGTATGATGGGGTGTCACGGGGGACGGGTTTGGCGCGGCGCCAGCGCGATTTTTTTTCTTTCTCAGTCAATAATACTGTATGATGGAAGCCAGCATATACAGCGAACAAGACTGTGACTAATATACATACTTCAGGTCGGCTGAACATAGCTGTTCCTCCGCCGCCTCCTCCACCACCGCCTCCACCATCTACATCTGCCGCTCAGGCTCCTGTTACGCCAACCCTTCCCCAACCTTCGAACTCTGGTAAGACTCGAGAGAATCGTAACGTTTTTGTTGACCGCGTCTTTCCTGAATCTTTTTCGAGTACTCGCTTTCAGGTGCGACAACAAGCAGTGCACAGTCTC